ATTCCATTTATATTTGTTGCAATCTCTAGGTATTACATAAATGCTAGAAACTTAAAATAAAAAAAGACTGAATGAGATAAATTGTCACAAGCACTAAATGAATTAATAACTTACATTTGGATATTCTTGTACCTGCTCTAGTATCTTAACTCCTCTAGACTCTTATATTAGATGATGGACACTTATTGATATTTCACAAGCTGTGTAACACACAAATACAAACACATCTATACACATATATATGTGTATGTGTCTATACATATATTTATGTTGAAATAATACATACATGTCTTATCTGGTAAGCACTGGAATTATTCTTAAGCGGGCAATCGAATCCCAATCTCCTGCGCGACAGGAAGAAATAACTTAACTGCCAAAGATTGCATTCAAGCAATATATATATGTACGTAATGAATCAAAAAAGAAAGTCTGTACACACATAGGGACGCAAACGCGCACGCGTATATATATAATATATATATATATATATATATATATATATATATATATATATATATATATATATATATATATGTATATGTGTGTGTGTTAATATATATTGATAGATTATTAAAAAACAGGTTTGTACTAAATGCTACGCAAATATAGATACATATATATGTGTTTGTGTATGTTTGGGTGAGCACATGCATAAACGTATGTGTATATGTTTAAGCACACACACAAACACGTTTATACATATGTAATATCTATATATATGTATATATATATATATATACATATATATATATATATATATATATATATATATATATATATAAACTCACTGTTTACACATAGTCAGCGCTTAAGAGGGAAATGGTCTTCTCGCGACCTACATTTCCTTTCTCAAGGGTATATAAAGGCGTCTGGCCTGCGAACCAGCATCACCTTGCAGTCTCCGGTAGAAGTACATCAATATTATCAACATGAAGACAGTAAGTCTGTGTATTCAGAGCATTTTGTTTCCATGTCAAACGTCATAAAGTTTTTAGTAAGTAGTACTATAATAACAGGAAGGTAAAAAATACTCAGTCACATATATGAACGTTCCAGCTGATTCTGTCCTTGCTGGTGGCTGTGGCTGTGGCTGAGAGACCGTTCCTCTCCTACGACGCCCCTGCACCACACGTATCCTCGCCCGTCCAGCAGATCCCCATCATCCGCGACGAGCGAGTCCATCCTGCCGCTGACGGCACCTACAGCTTTGACGTGGAGACTGGGGATGGCATCGTCAGGCACGAGTCTGGCGGTCCAGGTGGCGCTCAGCAGGGGACTGTGAGGTTAGTTCACATTCGCTCTTCATAATTTTACACTGAAACAGATAAGAGTAAGGCCTTTAAACGACAATAAATGTAAAAGTCGTCTCTGTGTGTAAATATATATATATATATATATATATATATATATATATATATATATATATATATATATATATATATATATATATATATATATATATATATTCAAGCTATGGTTTCCTTTCAGCTTCACCTTCCCAGATGGCCAAGTCTTCGATCTCCAGTTCGTCGCTGATCTTAACGGTTACCAACCTCAGTCGTCCTTCCTGCCCGTCGCCCCTGCATTCCCTCACCCTATCCCCGCCCACGCCCTCGAGCAGATCGAACGTGGTCGACTTGAACTCGAAGCTCGCGCCCGCGAAGAGCAGCGTCAGTCATCAAGCCAGGGACAAGCTGCACCTGCTCGCCACTATGGCCAACCTCAGTAGTGTTTTCCTACTGCTCTTCAGCATGTTCTTGTTACCCTGTTATCCACTATATATATATATATATATATATATATATATATATATATATATATATATATATATGTGTGTGTGTGTGTGTGTGTGTGTGTGTGTGTGTGTGTGTGTGTGTGTGTGTGTGTGTGTGATCACCCCGCTCTGTGAACACTATGTAACGTTTTTCTATTATATAAGTTATAAATAAATATGTCAAACTTCTGTCGGTATTTCTAAACAATTAGGTATCCTAATACACCTTTAAAAAAATGAGAAATAGATAAATAAAAAGATAAAGAATAAAAATAAAATCAATAAAAGAATGATCTCTTTTCACGTTTGGCTTTGCGTATCAACGTATACAATATATGTAACATACATATTTCGATTTTCGGATAAGACACTGGTAGCTGCTATCACCGAACCAAACTGATGAGCCATATTTAACCACGTTTAAAATCTTATCTTATTAAGTATATTAGAAACAAGCATTATATCGTAATCATTACATTGTTATATATACAAGATAATGAATAAATAGCATCTTTAAATTAATTGTAATAAAAAAAAGAGATACCTGAAGCTATTCTTTTTTTCCTTGATACAATCCACCTGTTCATTAGATAACAATAAGTATTTAAGTTAATCTGAATTCAATTGGTGTCCTTTGCTGGTCACATCAGTTTTACAAGAATACCAAGATACTAACTTTTATAAACATTTCCTGAGAATTACCATAACCACTTTGAGATAAGATGAAAGATTTTCAAAAGATTATTTTCATGAGCATATGAATATAAAGATATGGGATGTGGTAATAAAAAATAATTTATAGCGCCGCTTGCAATGCAATTAATAGTTATTTTGAAACGGTTATACTAGTCTCAAGTTCAACAGAAAGTGTCACTGTATGCAGTACGAGAAATATCTGTGTTGAACTCTACGGAGAAATGTTGAGTTCGCCGTCCTAGTAGTAAAATATCTCCCTGGCGGGGAATCGAACCCCGGTCTCCCGCGTGACAGGCGGGGATACTAACCACTATACTACCGAGGAATATAAAACCTTGGTGGAGAAATTTGGGTAAATTCGGAAAAAGACGTCAACAACACTTTTCGGGACGAAACTAGATTCGTTCGATTTCTATTGTTTTGGTTCGGTTGATTCTGGTGTTCATATGCATCGGAAATAGCTAGATAGTCTTTTCCATACCAGAGTTGCGCTACTCTTGATATACTGCATGTGCACTATGGAATTCTCGTTCTCTGCTGTAATCACAGTACCGATTTAGTCATAATATTGTTTAATGCAGGGGGCTGTGCCCCCTGCAACCACCCATGGGGGGCTGCCGCCAACCCCCGCCCAGAAAAACAAAGAATCCTCCACGTATTTAAGGCAGGAGAAAGCGTCGGACAGACTCGGCATCGGGTGGTCCCGCATGTCGGTAGTTACGAAAATTACACTGCATGGGGCTGCCGCCCCCCTACCCCCGCCCAGTAAAACAAAGAATCCTCCAAGTATTCACGGCAGGAGAGAGCGTCGGACAAAGTCGGCATCGGGCGCTTCCACATGCCGTTCGTACGCATTCGAAGCACCGTACATTTAGTCACTTCAGGGAAAATAAACCTAAAACATACCTATACAGTGGAGGGGCCGGGGTGAGGGTCGTCATATCAATGGAGCGGCTTGCGGGAGCGGAAGCGCTGAAGAGGTCTGCGTGAGCACCAGCGACGCGACGGCCGATCGCAGGGCATTTCAGAGGGTAGAACTCCGTATTCACGTAATAGTTTCAAGCTCAAAATAACTTTTTATAAATTGGAATGGTTTCATACCACATCCTAAACACACAGAAGTCATTGCGAGACTAATTTGAAAATTGAATTTCATAGCTTCTATTTTAGCTAATGTTTATTCATTGGCTGTTTCCCTCGTGAATTCTTTCCCCATTGGCTATTAAATTAACCGCCAAACAATTGACCAATGAAATCGTGACACTGACCGTCACAGGCGAGATAACAAGAACAGTACGTGTACGAGAGACCACGCGCATGCGCAGTGAAGAATTTGGTCAGTATTCCCGCAGCTCCCGTGTAAATCCCACCTCGTTTTATAATAATTTTTATTTATTTTAAAAATTAAATAACTTCGTTAATATTAATTTCCGAGACAAGTTTATTTAAGGAAAAGTGATTGTTAATTATATATCTTCAATGCTATGAGGTTAGTTTTCGTCGATTCAATGTTGACGCCTTTTTCCAATAATACGGAGTATTAAATCAGGATGTACTTAATTGATTAAAAAAAAAAAAAAAAAAAATCACATACCTATTGATCAGAAACATTTGGTTAATCTTAACTGAAGGCGTGCCAAATGTTTACTTCTTTTTCTATTCCTACGTTAAAATGAGCAAATATAACTCAGATTTAATGAAACAAGCTCACAAAGAAAATGGGTGAATTGTGTTTTTCCATAATAAAAGACAAACAAATTAAATTATAAATTATTTGTCTTTCACAAAAAAAGAAAAGAAAAAGAAAATATGACTCAAATATTCCTCTATATTCGTTGCAATCTCTAGGTATTACATATATGCTAGAAACGTTAAATTAAAAAAGGCTGAATGAGATAAATTGTCACAAGCACTAAATGAAAGAATAACTTACATTTGGATATTCTTGTACCTGCTCTAGTATCTTAATTCCTCTAGACTCATATATTAGATGATGGACATTTATTGATATTTCACAAGCTGTGTAACACACAAATACAAACACATCTATGTACATGTATGTGTGTATGTGTATATACATATATTTATATTGAAATAATAAATACATGTCTTACCTGGCAAGCATTGGAATTATTCCTAAGTGAGCAATCAAATCCCAGTCTCCCGCGTGACAGGAAGAAATAACTTTACTGCCAAAAATTGGATTCAGGCAATATACATAATGTATATAATGAATCAAAAAAGGAAGTCTTGATATATTGATAGATTAAAAAAAGGTTTGTACCAAGTGCTACGCACATATAGATACATATATATGTGTTTGTGTATGTTTTGGTGAGCACATGCATAAACGTATGTGTATATGTTTAAGCACACACACAAACACGTTTATACATATTTAATATCTACCTTTATGTATATATATAAACTCACTGTTTACACAGAGTCAGCGCTTAAGAGAGAAATGGTTTTCTCGCGACCTACATTTCCTCTCTCAAGGGTATATAAAGGCGTCTGGCCTGCGAACCAGCATCACTTCTTGCAGTCTCCGGTAGAAGTACATCAATACTATCAACATGAAGACAGTAAGTCTGTGTATTCAGAACATTCTGTCTCCATGCCAAATGCCATGAAGTATTATTAAGTAGTACCATAATAACAGGAAGGTAAAAAATACTCAGTCACATATATGAACGTTCCAGCTGATTCTGTCCTTGCTGGTGGCTGTGGCTGCGGCTGAGAGACCGTTCCTCTCCTACGACGCCCCTGCACCACACACATCCTCGCCCGTCCAGCAGATCCCCATCATCCGCGACGAGCGAATCCATCCTGCCGCTGACGGCACCTACAGCTTTGACGTGGAGACTGGGGATGGCATCGTCAGGCACGAGTCTGGCGGTCCAGGTGGCGTCCAGCAGGGTACTGTGAGGTTAGTTCATTCGCTCCTCATAATTTTACACTGAAACAAAAATGTGTAAACCTGCTTCGCAAACACAAGGCCTTTAAACGACAATGAATTTAAAAGTCGTGAGTGTGTGAATATGAATAATATATATATATATATATATTATATATTATATATATATATATATATATAATTATATGTGTGTGTGTGTGTGTGTGTGTGTGTGTGTGTGTGTGTGTGTGTGTGTGTGTGTGTGTATGTATATATATTTTTTTTCAAGCTATGGTTTCCTTTCAGTTTCATCTTCCCAGATGGCCAAGTCTTCGATCTCCAGTTCGTCGCTGATCTTAACGGTTACCAACCTCAGTCGTCCTTCCTGCCCGTCGCCCCTGTATTCCCTCATCCTATCCCCGCCCACGCCCTCGAACAGATAGAACGTGGTCGACTTGAACTCGAAGCTCGCGCCCGCGAAGAGCAGCGTCAGTCATCAAGCCAGGGACAAGCTGTACCTGCTCGCCACTATGGCCAACCTCAGTAGTGTTTTCCTACTGCTCTTCAGCATGTTTTTATTACCCTGTTATCCTACTCCGATATGTGTGTGTGTGTGTGTGTGTGTGTGTGTGTGTGTGTGTGTGTGTGTGTGTGTGATCACCCCGCTCTGTGAACACTATGTAACGTTTTTCTATTGAGTGTTATATAAGTTATAAATATGTCAAACTTCTGTCGGTATTTCTAAACAATTAGGTATCCTAATACACCTTTTAAAAAATGAGAAATAGATAAATAAAATAAAGAATAAAAATAAAATCAATAAAAGAATGATCTCTTTTCACATTTGGCTTTGCGTATCAACGTATACAATATATGTAACATACATATTTCGGTTTTCGGATAGGACATTGGTAGCTGCTATCACCGAACCAAACTGATGAGCCAAATTTAACCACATTTAAAATCTTATCTATTAAGTATATTAGAAACAAACATTATATCGTAACCATTAAATTGTTATATATACAAGATAATGAATATAGAGCATCTTTCAATTACTTGTAATGCAAAAAAAGAAAAATAAGAGGTACCTGAAGCTATTCTTTTTTTTTCCTTGATACAATCCACCTGTTCATTAGATAACAATAAATATTTAAGTTAATCTGAATTCAGTTGGTGTCCTTTTCCAGTCACATCAGGTTTATAAGAATATCTAGATACTAACTTTTATAAACATTTCCTAAGAATTACCATAACCACTTTGAGATAAGATAAAAGATTTTTAAAAGATTATTTTCATGAGCATATGAATATAAAGATATGGGATGTGGTAATAAAAAATAATTTATAGCGCCGCTTGCAATGCAAATATTTATTTTGAAACAGTTATACTAGTCTCAAGTTCAACAGAAAGTGTCACCGTATGCAGTACGAGAAATACCTGTGTTGAACTTTACGGAGAAATGTTGAGTTCGCCGTCCTAGTAGTAAAATATCTCCCCGGCGGGGAATCGAACCCCGGTCTCCCGCGTGACAGGCGGGGATACTAACCACTATACTACCGAGGAATATAATGAAACAGTGGAGAAATTAGTATTAAATCAGGATATACTTAATTGATAAGTTTTTTTTCACATATTGATCAGAAACACTTTGTTAATCCTAACTGAGGGAGTGCCAAATGAGGTAAATTGTCACAAGCACTAAATGAATGAATAACTTACATTTGGATGTTCTTGTACTTGCTCTAGTATCTTAACTCCTTTAGACTCATATATTAGATGATGGACATTTATTGATATTTCACAAGCTGTGGAACACACAAATACAGACACATCTATATACATATATATGTGTATGTGTCTATACATATATTTATATTGAAATAATATATACATGTCTTACCTGGCAAGCACTGGAATTATTCCTAAGCGAGCAATCGAATCCCAGTCTCCCGCGTGACAGGAAGAAATAACTTTACTGCCAAAGACTGGATTCAAGCAATATACATATGTATATAATGAATCAAAAAAGGAAGTCTGTCACACATAGGTACGCAAACGCGCACAAGCATATATATATATATATATATATATATATATATATATATATATATATATATATATATATGTGTGTGTGTGTGTGTGTGTGTGTGTGTGTGTGTGTGTGTGTGTGTGTGTGTTAATATATATTGATATATTATTAAAAACAGGTTTGTACTAAATGCTACGCACATATAAATATATATATATGTGTGTTTGTGTATATTTTGGTGAGCACATTCATAAACGTTTGTGTATATGTTTAAACACACTCAAGCACATTCATACATATTTAATATCTACATTTATGTATATATATAAACTCACTGTTTACACATAGCGCTTAAGAGGGAAATGGTTTTCTCGCGACCTGCATTTCCTCTCTCTCATGGGTATATAAAGGCGTCTGGCCTGCGAACCAGCATCACTTCTTGCAGTCTCCGGTAGAAGTACATCAATCCTATCAACATGAAGACAGTAAGTCTGTGTATTCAGAGCATTCTGTCTCCATGTCAAGCGCCATAAGTATTAGTAAGTAGTACTATAATAACAGGAGGGTAAAAAATATACTCAGTCACATATATGAACGTTCCAGCTGATCCTGTCCTTGCTGTTGGCTGTGGCTGAGAGACCGTCCCTCTCCTACGACGCCCCTGCACCACACACATCCTCGCCCGTCCAGCAGATCCCCATCATCTGCGACGAGCGAGTCCATCCTGCCGCTGACGGCACCTACAGCTTTGACGTGGAGACTGGGGATGGCATCGTCAGAAACGAGTCTGGCGGTCCAGGTGGCGTCCAGCAGGGGACTTCATAATTTTACACTGAAACAGAAATGTGTAAACCTGCTTCGTAAACACAAGGCCTTTAAACGACAATGAATGTAAAAGTCGTCTCTGTGTGTGTGTAAATATGAATCTCTCTCTCTCTCTCTCTCTCTCTCTCTCTCTCTCTCTCTCTCTCTCTCTCTATATATATATATATATATATATATATATATATATATATATATATATATATATATATATATATATATATATATATATATATATATATATATATATATATATATATAATCAAGCTATGGTTTCCTTTCAGTTTCACCTTCCCAGATGGCCAAGTCTTCGATCTCCAGTTCGTCGCCGATCTTAACGGATACCAACCTCAGTCGTCCTTCCTGCCCGTCGCCCCTGCATTCCCCCACCCAATCCCCACCCACGCCCTCGAACAGATAGAACGTGGTCGACTTGAACTCGAAGCTCGCGCCGCGAAGAGCAGCGTCAGTCATCAAGCCCGGGACAAGATGCACCTCCTCGTCACTATGGCCAACCTCAGTAATGTTTCCCATTGACCTTAAACGACAATTTGTTCTTGTAACCCTGTTATCCTACTACAATCCATATATATATATTATATATATATATATATATATATATATATATATATATATATATATATATATATATTATCATTATTATTAATTCCACTATGTGAACGCTATGTAACGTTTTGCTATGCATTGAGTGTTAAATGTTATAAATAAACATGCCAAACTTTTATCGGTATTTCTAAACAATCAGGTATTCTAATACACAAACCTTTAAAAACGTTGAAAAATGAATCGGAAAACTGATAAGCCAAATCTAACTACGTTTAAATTTAATCTTTATCAAGTATCTTAGAAACAAGCATTATATCAAAACCATCAAATTGTTTTATATATAAGATAATAAATAAAGAACATCTCTCATTTGCTTATTATGAAAACAGAACAAGAAACAAATGAGGTACCTGAAGCTATTTTTTTTCCTTGGTACAATCCACCTGTTCATTAGATAATTAGTTGCCTTAATCTGAATCAAATTAGGGTCCTCTGCTAGACACTTCAAAATATAAAATCTTCGTTAACTGATTATTTTCGTCCGAGTTAAATCGATTTGTGAGAGTAATAACGTTACTTCGTTATGTGATCTGATAACAGCGGTAAGAGTAAGAGATGAAAGATACGACCTGAGCTCCTCTTCTTCTATGAACTTTCCAGAGCATTACCATAGCCACTTTGAGATACAATAAAAAAAAATAATAATAATAATAGTAAAGTTTATTTTCACGAGCATTTCAATATAGAGATATAGGATGTGGGAATAAAAACAAATTTATGGCGCCATCTGCAAGACAAATGTTTATTGGAAACGCTTATACTAGTCTCAGCTTCAACAGAAAGTGTCACTGTATGCAGTACGAGAAATACATGAGTTGAACTCTACGGAGAATATTGAGTTTGTCGTCCTAGTAGTAAAACATCTCCCCGGCGGGGAATCGAACCCCGGTCTCCCGCGTGACAGGCGGGGATACTAACCACTATACTACCGAGGAATATGTATGTGCCGGAGAAACTTTATTTAAATCAGGATAGATTTAATTAATATCTAGAAGTCTTTTTCACAAATATATTGATCAAAAACATTTTGTCAATCCCTCTGTTTACTTTTTTCTCTATTCTTATGCTAAAATTAGCAAATATAACTTTTATGTGTAATGAAACTCTAAGGAAATGGGTTCATCGTGTTTTTGTTCAACGAAAGATGAACAAATCAAATGATAAATTAAATTATAAAAAACGACTCAAATATTCTTTAATATCTAATTTATATTCGTTGCAATCTTTGGACATTCCGGATATACCAGAGACTTTAAATTCAAAAAGACTGAATGAGATAGAATTGTAATGATCACTAAATGAATGAATAGTTTACATTCGGATATCCCTGTACCTTCTTTGGTATCAACTCCTCTAGACTCATAAATCACATGGTGGACTAATTTACATTTCACAATCTGTGTAACACACAAATACAGACACACATAAATACACACACACACACACACACACACACACATATATATGTGTGTGTGTGTGTGTGTGTGTGTGTGTGTGTGTGTCTTTATATATATTTATATTGAAATAATACATGCATGTCTTACCTGGCAAGCATTGGAAATATTCCTAAGTGGGCAATCCAAAGATTGGATTCAAGCAAAACAAATATAATAATAATAATAATAATTATTATTATTATTATTATTATTATTATTATTATAATAAAGATTCAAAATAGTAAATAAATCTGTACACACATACGCACGCAAACGTGCACACACAAATATATATATATATATATATATATATATATATATATATATATATATATATATATATATATATATATATATGAGTGTGTGTCTGTTAATATGTATTGATAGATTATTAAAAACAGGCTTGTATCAAGTGCTATGTACACATAAGTACATATATGTGTGTTTTGGTGTGTAAGCTTATGCATAGATGTGTGTATATTTTTAAACACACACATTTATACATATGTAATATCTACATTTATGCGTATATATATATATATATATATATATATATATAATATATATATATATATATATATATATAAACTCACTGTTTCCACATAATGGTTAGGAGGAAAATGGTCTTTCTCGCGACCTACATTTCCTCTCTCACGGGTATATAAAGGCGCCTGGCCTGCGAACCAGCATCACTTCTTGCAGTCTCCACTAGAAGTATATCAATCCTATCAACATGAAGGCAGTAAGTCTGTGTATTATAAGCATTTTGTTTCCATGTCAAACGTCATGAAGTATTAGTAAGTAGTACTAGAATAGTAGGAAGGTCAGTAATACATGTATGAACATTCCAGCTGATTCTATCCTTGATGGTGGTTGTGGTTGCGGCTGAGAGACCGTCCCTCTCTTACGACGCCCCTGCACCACACACATCCTCGCCCGTCCAGCAGATCCCCATCATCGCGACGAGCGAGTCCATCCTGCCGCTGACGGCACCTACAGCTTTGACGTGGAGACTGGGGATGGCATCGTCAGGCACGAGTCGGGTGGTCCAGGTGGCGCTCAGCAGGGAACTGTGAGGTTAGTTCATTCACTTCTCAAAATATTACACTGAAACATAAATGTGTGTAAACCTGTATATACATGGCCTTTAAAAGACAATGAATGTAAGAGTCGTCTCTATGT